TATTGCATAGTTCAGTCGACTGAGCATTCGGCGATAAATCGACGGGCTGGTGGCCCAAGCCTGTTCGTTGAAACACGTTCTCCTAGTTTTTTTTTATAGCTGACAAGTATTATACAGTAACAAAATTCCGAATGGTCGAAAAAATATGCGAGGCCCAGCACGAGTTCGCCGTGCAAGTGAGGGACAAGCTTTCCTTAGTAGCCGCCCACGCATTCACGCCATGGCACGGCTTCGACTTCGAAAACATAAACATACTGGAAACGACCGAATTTCACGCCTGCTACATGCAGCAGGGCACTCGAGCGAGCATACTATTAAGAGGCCTATCGATTTTCCGGCTGCGTTGAGCGAACAAATCGATGACACTGCTGAAAGTCACTCCCGGCAGGGATGAGCTTAATTTGCAGTGAGCTGTACAATCGTTTACGTCTTGACGACGGGTTCGCGTGGGAGGTCGAAACGTCGAACAAATAAACAGCTGGTTCAAGAGAACGCTTTCCCGTCTTCTATTTGAAAAATTACATAGAAAACACCAAAGAGTTCCTCATAGCTTGCATATGACGCAAAAAACCGACAGGAACACAGGTACAGTAGCCCCCTTCCCGGTTTACAGGAGTCTTCGTGGTCTACTTTCTCAGTGGACTTACATATCAGATATTGCACCTATTAGCTCCTTGCCAATTACCCGTTAATGGAAAGTGCAGCCATTTGTGTTAACGCTCCCTCAGAATGCCTGCGTGGGGTACTCAGTTATTCTGAGCCAACTTTGCACATACGAATTCCTCGAGGATGGACAGCGGCGTCTGCATTAAACGTTCCTCTGGATTATTATTTGTGGTATGACCAGCGGAAAAGTTATTTTCACCTTTTTAGTCCTTCCAGAAACTACTTAAAGGTGTAGTTGTTAAGGTTTTCGACATTTGTAACTTGGAAATTAGCCTTATACATAGTCACTTTGGGGATTCCCTAATGAATTTATGAAGGGTTAAAATAGAAGTGAGAATGTCTCTAGAAATAATCTTCCTCCTACCAAGATCCAATAGACCGGTGACTTCAAAAACTTTGATAGTTTTGATTTCCGGATGGGACATCCCAAGAGAAAATAAGGAGTACTGGTGGTTTCAATCACAATTGTGGCCGGTCCACCAAATGTATCCAGCAATAAAAATATGTAGTTTGTACTGTTTTGCTACCAGCGTAGACTAATTAACTTCGAACATGGTACCTTTCATTCAACCTGAAACTGGGAACAGTAGATAGCCGAAGTGGGGCGCTGACATGTCATCCTCAACCAGGTACCCTGGGTAACAAGTAGGCTGGCTGGACGAAACCAAGTGGAAATCTAGCGTGTGTGTATTTCATTTGAACTCATAGTGGGCCTCAACTTACTCGCATGTAGGTCATCATCAGGGTGGAGAAGATGCGAACTAGAGTGTCGTCGTTGAAGGGCACCATGCTGATTGCGTGAAAATGACGCATGAAACGGGGTGTGACGTCATTGCGGCCACCGCCTGGGGGTCCCATGGCGGTAACATAGTAGAGATCCTGCAGGACGATCTTAGTTGTGTCCTTCAAGTCGAACCTACATGCAGTGCAAGGACAGGGCATGGGTGAAGGACAATAGACACCATAAAGATGACTACCAAAAGTAATATTCTTCCCGGATAATGGGGCTTTCAATTGGGATTTGGGAAACGCTTGGGGCAAAAAGATATACGGAAGTCCCAGAAGGCCCACTTAAAAGTCCTGTTGGCGTCCACCTTTCTTGGTATGGCTTCATTTAGCCAAATCCAGCTTCTTCATTAAATGCAGTGAATCCATTTACAAGGACCACCAGAAGAATAATCTTAAACGTCACTATAACTTCGGGAACCGATCCATGCTGCATTCAGCAGGTGAATTTCCGATGTCGGGGAACTGCATATTGACGGAAGGAATCAAGAAAATTTAGTTCGGCCTTGTTTCTTCTACTTTTATTTACTTGCGTGTTACTCGCAGCTGAACACCAAAACTGACCATTCATTATATTTTGACAACCTTCGCTGGTGTTCTATCAATTTCCACGCCTTTTCTCTCATCCGATGTTGAGTACATAATTAAGCAGCCGACGACGTAAGATAAACTTGACGAACTCAAAATACTTGTGGCCGAGCTACGTCCTGATGTAATTGCACTAACTGAAACGTGGCTAACCGAAGG